CAGCGGGGTGGGGGGCATGAGGAGGTGGACAGCACCGGGGCGAGGTGCTGGTCCGAGGACGGGCAAGTAGCCGCAGGTAATGCAGGGTCTTGCTAGCTAACTGCTTTCCCACGTAGAAATTTGTGAAAATAAAGCCACATTGGGGCACTGAAGATATAATAAAGGGTGAGAATCGTGTTGGAAACTATTACTTAAAGGTTTAGAAACTAATGAAGGAAAGCTTCACCAAGATACCAGACTCATGAACCTGCTACTTCAAAACATGGCAGGTTGATGTCTGGAGGCCCAGGCCTTGCTGGCAGTGACTATGGGGTGTGACTGACCAGCTAGTCCGCGGGTACTTCACTGAAAGACCTTAGTTATTTTTCCTTGAAACTGAAAACTCAAAACCAATTGAAAATACTTCTCAGCCTCCATTTTTGGCAGAAGAGGCACCAGGTCTGCTGCTTGAGTAAGAAGCCAGCCTCCTGTAAACGCAAGCCCAGGAAATGACCAGGGGCAAGAGCAGAGGAAGGGGCTGGTGGGCAAAGACCGCAGCCTGGAGCAGGGCCTGGGGCGGGGTTGGGCTTCATGTGGAGCAGGCCCCGGAGGGTCTGAAGCCAGTGCTCCAGGGTGGCCCCTCTGGAGGAGTGGACTGGGAAACAACAAACCTCAGAAACTCCCCTGCGTCCTGGAAGCCAGGCTTGCCTGGGTCGGGAGCCTAGGAGCCCAGAGCCCAGGGTCTGCATGCCCGCCTCGGCCCTACAGAATTGTGTTGAGGGGCGAGGTCCCAGTGTGGTACTGGAGGAAAATCTCACACATTCAGGACAGCCACAGAGAAACAGCAGAATTGTAACGTCCAAGGAAGTGGAAGGAGAAGGAAGAGAGCTGGCAGAAGGCAGGAAGGAGCGCAGATAATGCAAGCCCAGGTGCCAGCAAGTTGATCAAACCCGGAGACGGCAAGTAGAGGAGAACCTGTGATGTGAGCAGAGGGCTCGGTGTTGGGGGTGGGGACATGAGCCAGCTGGGCCTGAGTGTGCCCTGAGGTGGCCAGGTCTCCCAGGTGCAAAATGCAGATGCCCGTAGGCCTGGCAAGATAAACCGTCATGCTGACAGTTGAACTGCAGAGGTGGCAACAGCAGCGTGGAAACGTGGCAGGCAGACCCCCTTCGGAGTGTAGAACTGCAGAACTGAGACCCAAGGGCTTGGAGTGGGAAACCCCGCAGCACCCCTCAGCTCCTGCCCTCTGGGGGGCTTGGTGGGCCCTCCCCCCTTTCAGGGCCCCCAGCCCTGCCTTGACTCGGCCCCACCTCACTGACATGAAGACGGCTTGCCTTGTAGCTCCAGCCCTCCACAGCCCCCTTAAAGTCACCCTGTAAGGCCTGGGCCACCCTCACCAGCTCCGTTGATCTGATAGCCCCATCCCCTCCTGTGCATTGGGGGTGGTCATGGTTCTGTTGCCACTTGTGTACACTCATGTCACACACACGGCGGCGGCTGTGGGGTAGCACGGATCCTGTGGTTCTGAGTGGCACAGGCCTGCTGCCCAGCGGGATGGATTCAGTACTTGTGAAGCAGCTGCCCCCTCACCCTCTATATTCAAAACCCAAAGTCTGATCACACTGGGTGGCAGGTGGGGCTGAGGGCACAGCCCTTTGGGATAGGTGGGCAGCACCTGGTAAGATGGAAGCCTGTGTCCTGCCAGGTAAGTATGTGGGCAGGGCCCCTGGAAACAGCCTGATGTCCATTGGCAGGAGCTGGACGGAGGGTGGTCGATGGCCTGGTCATGGTCAGTGATGATGTGCGTGAGTCAGCAGGGCCGAGGGAGGGCAGTCCGGCCAGCAGGGCTCGGTCAAGGGGCCAGGGCTTGGTGAGCCCTGGGTTAGCCCAGCATGTGGACCCCCTGCTCTCCCCAGGGCTGTGACAGAGACAGTTGCTGATGGTGGCCTGCAGGGTGCAGAGGACCTGGCCAGGGTTAGTTAGATCTGGGCTCTGGAAAGGCTCCCGGAACTCATTCAACTTAGGAGGGAGCTTTGTGCAGGGCCTGCTGGCCCTGGTCTCCTCCCCACACCTTTCCCTCAGCCTGGTGCCAGGCAGGGTGGGCCTCACACACTTGCCCCCCATCTGCCTGCCATGCTTCCTACAGGAGAGGTCGTGTCTGAATTCCTGAGGGTCCCCAACCCCAGTGATGGCAGGAAGGGCCGGGACTGCTGCTAGGGCCTGCATGCGGCAGGGCTCACACCATCTCATGGTAAAGGACCGTGTTCGAGTGAGAACCAACCAACACATGGAAAGGAAGTGGACATTTCCACTATGCTCCTACATGTCAGCATGCCATTTATTCTTCAAGACTGCAAAATAATACCACGGTATGGCAATCCCGTCAAAGTGCATTCTGAAGGCACCGAGAACAGTCCAGTGCTGCATTATAGTGCATTGGTTTTAGAGCATCAACAAGGTAGTCTAGATACTGAAAACTTTTCCTCCAAAGGAAACTGCAAAGCATAATTTGTGTCTCTTCCCTCCCATCCCACTCCCTCACTGCATCTGGTTTTAATTCTCTCAGCTGTAAAGGCAAAGCTACATACAGCACAAATGCACGCCTGTAAGTGGGACCGATGTGCTTAAAGCAGAAATGACATTTGCACCTTCGACACCCCATGACCGGCACTTCCCCACTAAGTGCTGGAGCAGGGAGGTTAGTTTATGTTCCTCACGCTCGAGAGTCCACAGGTGTGCACGAGACAGGCCCCCGGCAGGTCCTGCCGTGCCCCTGCCCCTCCTCAGCTCAGCAGGACACGGGCTGCACACGTGCCCGTGTTTCAGGTGCTTGGCCTGTGCTCCAGCAGCGCAGCTCTGCTCTCTGCTGACTGCACCCCAGGCTGGGCTGACAGCGAGTCGTTGTCCCCACCCAGGAAGGAACTTTGACACAGGGCTGGCCCTGGGTGGTACTGAGCCCCCAATGTACTGTGGTGTCTCCAGGAGGCAAGCCTGCAGAGCAGACACCAGGGTGCTAGGTCAGCGTCAACGCAGCCCACCCTGCTGGGCACCTCCCCACCACGGGCACCTGCCCTCCCAGGAGCGAGAGCGTGGACCTATGCAGACCAGATCGCTACCTGTGCTTTGGAGGGTGCAGCTGCTCCACTTATCCCGGTGGGCGGGCAACACCTGGGGACACACAGTCATGTCCGAATCCATCTTTTTGGTCTGGCATTTTTGCCTGGTATTTTCCTCTTGGTTCCAAAGTACTTGGACACATTACGTGTGTGTGGTGCTGGCAGGCTCTTATCCACATCAGCATGGCACAGGAGTAGCTGGTGGCACTCTCAGGGAAGCAGACAAAATGCTGAGGCCTGAGTTCAAGGACACTGGGTGCAGAATGAGCCCTTGAGAAGACAGCTTCCAGAAGGCCCCATGCATGTTGACCAGCAGACCCTGACAGCTGCGTGTCTTGGTGTGAACAGGGCTGGGATGAGAAGGAAGGAGGAAGGGTCTGACCCCACAGTGTCTCAAAGGTCCCACACATAAATCCCCGGGGAGCAGAGGTGTGACTTGTTCAGCATTAGCACTAGGCGAAGAGTGTTTGGCCAGCTCCAGACAGGAAGTGTCTGGTCCCAGGTGTGTAATCATGGTCCCAGCTCTCTGGTCCCCAGGGAGCTGGCTCCTCAGCCACATGCAGTTAACCAGAGGCTGAACACAAACATCTCAAGCTACAGGTGATCAGTGACCGGCTCTCACTCAGGACAAGAAGGTACCAGGTGGGCAGTGGCTCCGCCCACAGGACTCGGCGCACAGCTGACATCAGACTGTGGCTTCTGTCCCTGAGGGGCCTGTCCACTTGAGTCCTCGCTGGTGTGACTGCCTGGTCCTCAGGGGTGACGTTCATAGCCTGGGAGTTCTCGGTCACCCTTCACTAAGGCCTGAGCCCAGCCCTGGGAGAAGCCTGCACCGTGGGGGCTGCTGTTGGCACTTGTGAGTGTGGAAGGTGACCTGTGCCTTCCGATGTCTGCTTTCGTTAAATTTCCTACGATCAGAGTGTATTAACGTTGGTTTGCTGTTGTCTGATTCTTGTCTGTCTTGCCTCTAATAGTCTTCCTGGGCTGCCAACTGGACCCCTCAATTGTAAAAACTTGTAGAGACCTGGCCCCCAGAGCTGCATCTAAGATGCTGACTCCTACATGCCCAGCCTCAGCTTGAAAACAGCACAACGTGAACTGCAGGACCCTGATGGGATGAGAAAGAGGGGGATGGTGGTATGACTGCACTTTATGGGGGGTGCTTTCTCTTTCTCTAGTGAGCACACATACCCTTTGGCAATAAAAAGAAAAAAAAAAACTGTAGAAACAGCAAGTAAGACAGCCCGACAGACAACTCACTTTCCTATTTCTTCTACTTTGTACTTCTTTTGTTTTAGGTTGTCTTCTTTCACGAGAGAAAGTGTGCAGCACGCCCAGTGTCTGTGTGAGAGGTGTGCCCTCAGGCCTCCCCACCCAGGGCTCCTCACCCCTTCCCGCCAGCCAGGGCCTTGGGTGTGTGCAGGGTGTGAGCCTGTACCACTGAGGCTGGGCCCTTGTTTCTCCTTCCAGACCCAGGCTGTGAGCTCTTCATTACAGGACAAGTAGAGACAGAGCAGCATGAACTGCCGATCAGGCCCGCTGACAATACCGAGGGGTGGCTGGAAGGAACGGGGCTGCCCTGTCCATTTCCGTCCCAGGTCAGCTCTGTCCTTGTGAGAGCCGAGAGCCTTCCCTGCACGTGGTCCAGAGCAGGGCCCCTCGTCGAGGCCTCTTTGGCCTGGGACGTCCCAGACCACTCACAAACATGGCACAGGCAGTCACTTGTGCCGGCTGGCCCTCATTTACCACCTGCTGCTCTTTGCTGTCTGCCAGCAGGCCATCCACCTGCACAGCTCGGGCAGGATTCTGGGAGTGGACCTGGCAGGTCAAGCCGGAAACGTCGTCCAAAGTCAGTCATTACTGAGCCCCTGGCCAGGAGGCCATGCTGACACAGGAGAGACTGCCACATCGAGCAGACCTCAGGCCAGCCTGCACAAAGGCTTGTGCGGTGTTATACAGTTGGGACCTGCCACTGTCTGCACCACACACGCAGGGCGGAGGACTGCCCTGTGCAGCTGCAGGACACTGCCTGCAACAGGCTCCAAACACACGAATCCCGTGGGCAGGCCCGAGTGTGGTGGAGCCAGCGCTGGAGCGGAGCAGAGCAGTGTCACAGCAGGGACGTGCATTCCGAGGCTTCGGGCGGGATCGCCAAGGCACTTCTGGGGAATACTCTGGGCACCCCTACTTGGCTGGGAGCGGCCCACAGAGGTGAGTCCAGGGGCTCACGCTTGACCACGGGAACGGCCCCTGGAGCTCTGCACCCACAGCCCGGGGTGGAGGGCTGCTGCTCGAGAGGGCTGTGCAGGCGCTCCAGGCAGGCACAGTGTGCAAGGCAGAAGGTGGCTAGCTCCCTGCCGGCCCTGCCGTGGGGCTGAGGCCCCAGCAGGCTGTGCCCGTGGTATGGAGTGCAGCCCTGAGACCTGGGGCCTGGCTCTGTCTTCAGATGCAACCTGGTGGGGAACGTGACCAGAGGCCTTGTGGCCACACCACTGGCCCCCAGCCAGGCATAGCCGTCTGCTGTGTCCTCAGGCCCAGAGTCACTCTCCATCTTGATGGGCACGTCTAGTGACAGCATCGGGCTGCACGGGGCTCCAGCGGGCACGGGCAGACTGTCAGCGGTGGAGTAGCCGCCCACCGTGAAACGCTGAGCTCCAGGCGGGGGGAGCTGGCTCTCAAGGCTGCACTGCGGGACGTGGCGGGTGGGAGGGGGCACCTGGCCCTGGCCCTGGCCTAGCCCCCGCAGGTGTGTGCTTAGCCTGCCAGAGCAGGCCCGGGGATAGTGGCTGGGCGCTCGGGAGATGGGCGGGCTTCTGAAAGCAGCAGAGCCCCCTTGGAAAGTGCTCTGGATGCCTGGGTGGGGTGCAGCACAGGCGGAGAACAGGCCACTACTGCTGGAGTGCAGCTGCAGCCTGATGGCCTCCTGGCTGCGCTCCTCTGACACCAGGGTTGGGCGCCTTGAGGGTCCTGGCGTCTCCACGAGGCAGCCGTCCCCATGTATCTCCCTGCAGCTCCTCAGTCCACAGGAGCCACTCAGCACGCATTCCGGCTCCTCCTCCTCCCCATGCCTGTGCAGAGAGGATGGCCCATCAGAGCCTGGGGACAACGGGCCATGCGGTCTGGAGTGGGGTCTGTAAGGCCAGGTACTAAGCTGGATGGTGCTGGCGACTTTGCCAACACCCATGCCAACACCGTCCCTCCCTCCAGCTCCTCCCTCTGTGCTTTACCCTCCCAGGCCGGGCTCAGGGCCACGGTGGGGGTGGGAGGAGGTGAGTGCTGCCGCCCCTGTGTGGAGCAGGAACCACCAGGCCACACATGTGCCCTGTCAGCCTCAGCCCCAAGGTCACCACTAAGCTGGGGTACCCTCAAACTGTGTGGCTGGGCTGACCAACAGGACACCACACGGCTCCAGCCCTGCATGCCAGGGTGGGCAGAAGCCAGGGCCGGCGAGGCCGCTGGACGTGACCCTGGAGAGGGAAGCTGAGTTCCCGCCACGCGGGGCCGAGCGTGCAAGCCCCTGTCCCCTTCCTTCCTGACATGTCCTCACGGAGAGGCAAGAGGGGCAGAGGATGCCTGGCCCACTTACCTTGCAGCCCCCTGGGGGGCCAGGTCAGGGCCGCCCCTGAGGCATAAGCATGGGGCCTGGGTCAGGACCCGAGGGCAGCGGACAGCGTCCATCTGTGCCCTGAACACGGGAACACAGGCTTCGCCATTGCTTCGTCCTGCGGGGTTGGGGAAGCCGCCACTGTGTGATGGGCACGACTGGACCCAGCGCCACTCTGCTCTGAGTCCTCTCAGAAACACGCAGGGCCAGGGAAGGCGCTGCCCCTCCCAGGTGGCACCGTCCTGGTACACGAGGACCTTCCCAGGGGTGGGACGAGGCGGCAGTGGGCACCAGAAAGTACCTGCCACGTGAGCGCGCTTCCTGGGCAACTCGGGCACACACGGCCTGGGGGGCGCTTTCACCCTGTGAAGAACAAACAGCAAGGCGCCATGTAGGTTAGCTGTGCTGGAGGGTGAGGACCGGGATAACATCACGTTCCCCTCTCTATAGCTTGTGAAGTCTGAGGGTGTGGGCTGTTCTGGCCAGAAAGCGCAGAGAGCAGGGTCGAGGGGTGGTCTGAGGGCGCAGGCGCTGTGGGCGTCACCGCTTGTGCTCTTACTAGAGCCCAGAGTGAAAATGCAGCCGCTTCTTGTACCGGGGTAGTTCTCAGTCATGAGAGCGCTGAGCCACTGCTCTTGAAAGACGGTGCGTGAACCTGCACACGTGTGAAACGTGGCTCATCCCTGATTCCTGGCCGCTCGTCCAGGGGGTCCTGTTTCTCCAGACAGACGCTAAGGGCTTAGCTGGGCCGGCCCTCTGGCAGGTGCCGGTCCAGCTGGCCTCTGGGCTTGGCCGCGCAGGATCACCTGGTCCCTGGGTGCG